TATCAACCCCCCCCCCCCATTCAATCAATCTTGTTCCCCCAACTCCCTCTTTATTTGTAAGAGGGAGGGATAGAAGGAAGATGTAAGAAGGAAGGGATAAGAAAGAAGATGAGGATAGGAAGAAGGAAGAAAGAGAAAAAAAAATTGGGGAGAAAGAGAATGAGATAGATGTTTACTATCACTATTTTGGGGGAGGGGGGGGGGGAGGGGGGAGGGAATGGTATTATCTCTAGATCTTCTCCTTCCCTTCCTTCCTCTTATCTCTTCCTTCCTTCCTTCCTCCCTCTCTCTCTCTCTCTCTTCCTTTCGCTTTTTTTCAACATTCTATTCCCTCCCTATCGCGTCTTCCATCCTCCCCAACCTCACCTCCCCTCTCCTTCCCTCCCTGCCCCTCCTCTACATACCTCCCCCCCCCTACCTTCTTCCATCCCTTCCTCTCCCTCACCCCCCTTCCCCATCCCCTCTCATATCCCTCTCACCCCCTCTCATCTCTCTCTCACCCACTCCCCTCTCTCCGTCCTTCACCCTCCCTTTCTCTGTCCCCTCTCACCTTCTCCTCAACCCCTCCTCCCTCCCTCTCTCCCTCCCTCTCCCCTCTCCCTCCCTCCTTCCCTCCCTCCCTCCCTCCTCTCTCCGTCCCCCTCTCACCCTCTCTCTCAACCCCTCCTTCTCCCACCCTCCTTCCTCCCTCCCTTCGTCCCCTCTCACCCTCTCCCTCACCCCTCCTCCCTCCCTTCCGTCCTCCCTCCTCACCTCCCTCCCTCCCTCCCTCTGCCCCTCTCCTCCTCTCCCCTCCTCCTCCCCTCCCTCCTTCCCTCCCTCTCTCCCTCCTAACCTCTCCCTCCCTCCCTCCTCCCTCCCTTTCTCCCTCCCTAACTCCCTCCTCCTCCCCTCCCTTCCCCTCCCTCCCTCCCTCCCTCCCTCCCTCCCTCCCTCCCTCCCACCCTGCCTGCCCCCCTCCACCCCCCTCCCTGTCCCCCATCCGCCCGTTCCGCCCCCCTCCCGCCCGTCCCCCCTCCTCCCCGCCCGTCTTTCCCAGAAGATGTGTGCTGGGTATGTAATCGTGAGTTTAACGTTAGCTGGACGACTCTTAGGTACGCGCAGGGAAGAGGGGTGAGGGGGGTGAGGGGTTGAGGGGGTAAGGGTGTGAGGGGGTGTGGGGAGTGAGGGGGTGAGGGGGGTGAGGGGGGTGAGGGGGTGAGGGGTTGAGGGGGTAAGGGTGTGAGGGGGTGTGGGGAGTGAGGGGGGTGTGGGGGTGAGGGGGGGGTTAGGGATCGATATGTCCCACCTCCTAAAACAGGACTGCTGTCAAAGCTCGCTTCCCCCCCCATTCCCCTTCCCTCTTCCTCCTCCCCTTCCTATTCCCTCTGATTCCTCTCTCTCTCTCTCTTTCTCTATCTATCTCTATCTATCTATCTATCTATCTCACTCTCCTCTCTTTCTCTTCTCTCTCTCTCTGCTCCCTCTCCCTCTCCTCTCCCTTCTCTCTCTCTCTTTCTCTCTCTCTCTCTCTCTCTCTCTCTCTCTCTCTCTCTCTCTCTCTCTCTCTCTCTCTCTCTCTCTCTCTCTCTCTTCCTCTCTCTCTCTTCTTCTCTTCTCTCTACCCTTTCCTCTTCCTTCTTCTTTTTTTTTCTCTTTCCCCATCTCTACCTTTTTCTTTCGTTTATCTTATATCTACCTTCTTCTTCTACTTTCTAGTTCCTCTTCCCCCTCTTACACACCTCCCTTCCTTCCTCCTCCCCCTGTCAACCTGCTCTTCCCTTTCCCCTCCCTTTCCTCCTTCTTCTTCCTTTCTCTTCTTTCCTTCCTATTCTTTTCCTCCCTCTTCCTTCCTTTCCCATTCTTCTCTCTTTCCTTCCTCCTTTCTATTCTTCCTCTCTCTTCCTCCTTTCCTCTTATCTTCCTCTCCCTCTCTTCCTCCTTTTTCTATTCTTATTCTTTCCTATCTCTTCTCTTCTTCTTCCTCTTTCTAAATTCTTTCTCCTCTCCCCTCCTTCTTCTACTTCTTTCTCTCCCCTCCTCTTTCTATCTTCCTCTCTCTTCCTCCTTTCTATTCTTCCTCTATCTTTCCTCCTTTTCCTATCTTCCTCCTTTCTTTTCTTCTTCCTTCCTCCTTCCTCTTTTTCTTCCCCTCATTCTCCCCTCTAAATTCCCCTCACTCACTGACTGGGACCCCCGACGTAGCATCTGTCCCGATTCCTCTCACCCGCGCCAGCTGGTGGAGATGGTCATTCTGGGTGGGGGGTGGGGGGGAGGGGACGGGGAAGAGGGGTCCTGGGTGGGGGTGGGGGGAAGGGTGGTTCTGGTGGTGGTGGGGAGGGGGGAGGGGGGGGGGCGTTCTCTTTGCTTTACAGTTCTAGCTTCGTAAAGTGAGATATTTGGCTGATTCTCTTATTTCCTCTCTTTCGCTGCTCCTCTCTCTATTACTTTCTGTTTTTTTGTTTTTTTTTTTTGTTTTTTTTTCTTTACTTTCTTTATTTTTTCTTTTTTTTCTTTCCTTTTTTTTCTTCTGCTTCTCTTTCTTCTCTTTCATTTCTGTTTTCTCTCTCTCTCTCTCTCTTCTCTCTCTCCTCTCTCTCTCTCTCTTCTCTCTCTCTCTCCTCAGTCTTCTTCTCTCCTCTCTCTCTCTCTCTCTCTCTCTCTCTCTCTCTCTCTCTCTCTCTCTCTCTATCTATCTATCTATCTATCTATCTTCTATCTATCTAATTATTATATTTTCTTTTTATTCTTATTTATTTTTCCCTCCTCATCGTCTCCTTCATTTCCTCATCTCCTCATTCCCTCTTCCCTCCTCCTCCTTCTCCCCTTTTTCTCTCTTTTCCTCCTTCTCTCTCCTTTCTCCCCAATCGTCCTCATATTCCTCCTTTCCCTCCTCTTCTCCTTCTTCTTCATCTCCTTCTCCGTCTCTTTCTACTTTTTCTTTCTGTTCTACTCCGTATCTTCCTTCCTCTCCCCTCAATCTCCTTCCACTCCTTTTCCTCCCTTCTCCTTCTCACCTTCCCCTTCTTCTTCTTCCTCTTCTTCATTTCCCTCCTCCCCTTTTTCTCCTCCTTCTCCTCCTCCCTCATTGACCTCCTATCTCTCCACCTCCTCTCCTCCTCCTCTCCTCTCTCCTTAACTCACACCTTCCCTTCTTCTTTCCTCTTCTTCCCCTCCTCCTTTTTCTCCTTCTCCTCTCATTTGACCTCCCTCACCTCCTCTTCCTCCCACCACCACCACCACTCCTCCTCCTCCTCCTCCTCTCCTCACTTCTCCACACCCACTCCTCCTCCTCCTCCTCCCTCCTCTCCTCCTCCCTCTCCTTCTCCTCCTCTCTCCTTCTCTTCTCTCTCCTCATTTACCTCCCTCTCACCTCCTCTTCTCCTTCTCCACACCACCCTCCTCCACCTCCTCCTCCTCCTCCTCCTCCTCCTCCTCGCTCTCTTCCTCCTTCTTCCCCTCCTCTCTCCTCCTCCTCCTCCTCCTCCTCCTCCTCCTCCTCCTCAACCACCTCGCACTCCTCTCCTCCTCTCCTCTTCCTCCTCCTCCTCCTCCCCTCCTTCTCCTCCTTTCCTCCCTCCTTCTCCTTCTCTCTCATTTAACCTTCCTCCACCTCCTTCCTCCTTCTCCACCACCCCACTCCTCCTCCCTCCTCCTCCTCCTCCTCCTCCTCCTCCTCCTCCTCCTCCTCCTCCCTTCCTCCACCACCACCACCCTCCTCCCCCTCCTCCCCCCACTCCCTTCCTCAACCACCCCCTCCTCCTCCTCCTCCTCCTCCCTCCTTCTCCCACCACCACCACCTCCTCTCCCTCCTCCTCCTCTCCTCCTCCTCCTTCCTCCTTCCTCCTCCCTCCTCCTCCTCCTCCCTCCTCTCTCCTCCTCCTCCTCCTCCTCCTCTCCTCCTCCCTCCTCCAACCACCACCCCACCACCACCTCCTCCTCCTCCCTCTCCCTCTTCCTCCTCTCCTTCTCCCTCTCATCTCCGCGTTCCATATTCCCCTCGAGTCTTCTCAAGTGCCACTCGAGACTGCCCAACCTCGAACGAAAGGAGAATGACTTCAAAAGGAAAAAAAAAAAAAAAAAAAATCCAGCATCTTCCTGTTGTAATTCATTCAGGACTGATTTTGGGTTGAAAATCGGCCTTCGGTTGAAGGAGGGAGAGGGAGGGAGAGGAGGGGGAGATGGAGAGATAAGAGGGAGAGGGAAGAGAGGGAAGAGGAAAGGAGGGGGAAAGAGAGGGAGCTGAGGGGGAGAGAGAGAAAGATAGAGGAGAGGGAGAGGAAGGAGGGGAGAGGAGAGTGAGGAAGGAGGGAAGAGGAGAGTGAGGAGGGGGAAGAGAGAGAAAGATAGAGGAGAGGGAAAGAGAGGAGAGGAAGAGGGAAGAGGGAGCGGAAGCAGAAAGGCAGAGAGTGTATGTAAGAGGAGGATGAGAGGGAGAAGAGATGGGGAAGATGGTAAGGAGAGACACAGAGGGGGAAGAAGGGGATAGATAGAGAGACTGAGAGAAAGAGAGAGAGAGAGAGAGAGAGAGAGAGAGAGAGAGAGAGAGAGAGAGAGAGAGAGAGAGAGAGAGAGAGAGAGAGAGAGAGAGAGAGAGAGAGAGAGAGAGAGAGAGAGAGAGAGAGAAGAGAGGGAGAGAGAGAGAAAGAGACAGACAGACAGAAAGACAGACAGAGAGAGAGAGCCAGACAGAACAAAATCATACCCACATGAATAAAACACAACACAAACACACAAACAAAACGAACCCAAACCCCAACCCCCCAGTTCCCTCACCCCACCCACCACCCACCCCCCCTTCCCGCCAACCCACAAGCACCTCCTTCCCCAACACCCGTCCCTGAACACGAGAAAAGTTCACCGTGTTCACCTTAAACAGAAAACTCATGTTATTGACTTCCTTGTTATAATCTACCTGTCACTCTAAGGTAAGGTAAACACCACGGCCACTCGCACACATATCTCTATAGGCCTAACTCAGGGCTGGGATGTGAGAGAGCGACATGGGCCAATCCGCCCACATCCTATGGCCACGCCCATCAGCCTATAGTGGTTGACCTTTGACCCTTGAGTTTTGGGGGTGTGACATCTGGGTAACATCTGGTATAGTTTTTATCTAAGATTTTGTTGCGTTCTGGTATTTATTCTGTTCGCCCGTGTTTCTGTTTGTTATTTGGATTTAATGTTCTCTGGATTTCCTACTGTGAAATACCCTTGAAAATGGATCACAAACCCACTCGCAGGAACGGCTTTATTAACATAATTGGGTGTGTCATAAAAAAAAAAGAATTTTCATGTATTAAGATTCAAGTTATTTCACTATGTTATTGCGGTCTCTGTAGCTATTAAGCGTTTGTGGACATATAGATACGTACATGTATGCATACGTGCATTCATACACACACACAAACATACGCGCGAGAGAGTTGCCTGTGTGTGTGTACAATATATATGTATCATGCAACGCCTTTTTTATAAACAAGGATTTTTTTCGCTCTTCTCTTTCCTCTCTCTCTCTCTCTCTCTCTCTCTTCTCTCTCTCTCTCTCTCTCTCTCTCTCTCTCTCTCTCTCTTCTCTCTCTCTCTCTCTCTCTCTCTCTCTCTCTCTCTCTCCCTCCTCCCTCCCTCTCTCCTCTTCCCTCCCTCCCTCTCCCTCCCTCTCCATCCCTCCCTCCTCTACCTCCCTCCCTCCCACCCTCCCTCCCTCCCTCCCTCCCTCCCTCCCTCCCTCCCTCCCTCCCTCCTCCCTCCCTCACCTCTCCCTCTCTCCTCTCTCCCTCTCTCTCTCTCCTCCCTCCCTCTCCCTCCCTCCCCCTCTTCTCAATCTCGTTATTTCCAGCGCTTCTCGCCCCCCTCCCTCGCCCCACATTCCTCGCACATATCAAAAAGGGAAAAAAATCCGTACACCACTTCATATTCCTTTGTTTCGCCAAATTAGACATTCGCTTTCCTTTATTGAATATCCTTCTCCCTTTCCCCCTTCTTCGCCGCTCGTGTTTTTTTTTTTTTTTTTTATTTTCCTTCCTTTCTTTCTTTCCTTCTTTGCTTTCATTTTCCCCTTCTCCTTTTCATTCTTTCTTTCTCAGTTCCCACTTCCCTTCTCTCTCTTCTTCTCTTCTGTTCTCTCCTCTCCTCACTCTTTTTTCCTTTTTTTTTCTCCCTCCTTCACACTCTCCTTTTCTTCCAAAATTACTTATCGCTTTTCCCTTTTTTATCCTGGCTCCTTATCCTTTCCCTTTCCTCCTCTTTTTCTGCTTACCTCCTCTTTCACTCCCTCGGCCGCTTCCTTTCCTTCCTTCCCCCTCCTCCTTCGCTTTTCCTCCCCATTCTCCCCTCCTTCCTCCCCCTTCCCTCTTCTTCTTCCCATCCCCCTCTCCTTCCCTCTTCCTCTTCTTCCCCCCCTCCTTTCCCGCCCCCTCCCCTCCCTTCCTCCTCCTCCTCCTTCCCTCTTCCTCTTTCATCCTTCCTTCCCCCTCCATTCCCCTATTCCCCCTCCTCCTTTCCCTCCCTTCCCTTCCCCCTCCCCTCCCTCCTTCTCCCCCTTCTCCTCCCCTCACCCCTCACCCCTTCCCCCTCCCCTCCTCCCCATTATTATCTTCGCCCTTTAAAAAAAATAATAATAATAAAAAATAGATAAAAAATCCCTCTCTGATACCCCCACGATCGCAACCATGATTTCTCTTGTGCATTACGAGATCTTCATTATTATTATTATTTTTATTATTATTTTAATTATTAATAATTAATATATAATAATCGATTATTATTATTATTATTATTATTATTATTATTATTATTATTATTATTATTATTATTATTATTATTATTATTATTATTATGAGATCGTGATGCTCTTGGATGCTGTTCGTTCCCTTTGCTTGCGCTTTCTGTCGCGTGTTTGTTATTGTTTATGTTGTTTTGTGTTTGTTGTGTTTGTTGTTTGTATGTGTTTTGTATGTTTGGTTGTGTTTATATGTGTGGGTGTTTGTATGTTTGGTTGTGTTTGTATGTGTGTGTTTGTTTGTATGTTTGGTTGTGTTTGTATGTGTTTGTAGTGTGTGTTTGTTTGGTGTGTGTGTGTGTTTGTTGTTATGTTAGGTTGTGTGTGTTTGTATGTTAGGTTGTGTTTGGTGTGTGTGGTTGTATGTTAGGTTGTGTTTGTACGCATGTGTTTTAGGTTTGTGTTTGTGTGTTTGTATGTTAGGTTGTTGTATGATATGTGTTTGTTATGTGTGTGTTTGTATGTGTTGTTTTGTGTTTGTATGTATGTGTGTTTGTGTTTGAATGCGTTAGTGTGTATTTGTATGTGTTATTTTGTGTTTGTGTGTGTCTGAATGTATTAGTGTGTGCGTATATGTCTGTGTATTTGTGTATGTGTTAGCGTGCTTTAGTTTGTTTTAGAAGAAGTAGGAGAAGGGGAAGGAAAAGGCATAAGGAAGTTAAAGAGTGGGAGGAGACGAGGGGAGAGGCAAGGAGAGGCGAGAAAGAGGGGAAGGGAGTCAAGTGAGGGGAAGAAGAAGATAGGATAACTTATATTTAGATCAAATGAGGGTTAGGATTTATTATTTTTTACATCCCTCTCCCGAAATGTATTGGGACTCTCGTTTCTCGAATCTTGAATATTGTTCATAGTCTAATATTAACATTTCTAAGTCTTTCTTTGTTGTATGTGAGCCCGTGCAGGGTCACTTCAGCCTTTTGAGATGTAATCTTTCATCTCACAATATACGTTGTTGTGTGTGTGTGTGTTGTGTGTGTGTGTGTGTGTGTGTGTGTGTGTGTGTGTGTGTGTGTGTGTGTGTGTGTGTGTGTGTGTGTGTGTGTACGTGTGCATTTTTTTAAGCGTGCGTACGTGTGTTTGTGTGTGTTTAGTTGTGTGTGTGTTTTTTTAATTCTGATTTGTCCGTGTGTGTGAGAGAGAGAGTGTGTGTACGTGTGTCTCTGGTGTGTATATGCATATCTAAAACAAAATATAAATCACGACTGATCAGTGGGAGAGGAGAGGAGAGAGAGAGATGGAGATGGAAAAGGAGGAGGGGGGGAGTGGAAGAGAGAGAGGTGGAGGAAGTGGAAACGGGAGGAGGGGAGAGAGAGAGAGAGAGAAAATAAGCACATACAATTACGTTCTAACATACAAAATGCATTCACAAACATCCCCAAGTTACACGAACGAATTTCTCAACTAGCAACACATTCTTTCAAAAAAAAATAAAAAATAGAAAGAAAAATACATCCACACGACCCAAACAACACGTAATTTCATAAGATATTCCAAGCAAAGTCATAGGACTATCCGTGGAGCAGCGAAGCCAAGGTCACAGCCTACACGATAGACCTGTTGTAATGTCACGCCAGACTTCCACTGCACAAAGGAAGAATCTCCCCCCTTCCCCCTCCCCCTCCGCCCCCTCCCTCTTCTCCTCTCCGCCCCCCTTCCTCTCTCCTCCCCCTCCTCTCTCCTTCCCCTCCCCCCTCCTCTTCTCTCCTCCCCTCCTCTCCTCCTCTCCCCCTCCTCTCTCTTCCCCCTCCTTCCTCTCTCTCCCCTCCCCCTCTTCCTCTCCCTCCCCTCCTCTCTCTCCTCCCTGCCCCCTACTCCCCCTCATCACCCTCACACCCCCACCCGTCCTCACGCCTTATCCACCTCATCTCCTATCGCCTTCACCTTTCCTACCCCCCCCTCCCTTAAAACCCCCTCCATCCCCTTAACCTTCCCTACCCCTTAACACTCCCCCTCCATCCCTTCACCCTCCTTACCCCCTTAACACTCCCCCCTCCATCCCCTTCACCCTCCTTACCCCCCCTTAAACCCCCCTGCATCCCCTTCACCCTCCCTTACCCCCCTTAAACCCTCCCTGCATCCCCTTCACCCTCCCTACCCCCCTCAAAACCCCCCCGCATCCCAACCCCTCCCTACCCCCCTTAACACCCCCCTCACCCCCCACCCCAACCCCAGGGACGCGGCACCTTCTTCCCATGTAGGCCGCTGCGCAGGCCGGGCGGCGCAACCCTTAGGCCTACGCTCCGAGCAGGGCAGACGTGCAACGACCTCTATGTAGGTCGCCAGACACTTGTTGACAGAGGGCAGCGCCAGGGCAGCCAGAGGTCACGAGGGGGCAGCCGCTCGTGACGCGATAGGAGGTCGATAGAGGGGAAAAGGGAGGAGGGAGGGAGGGGGGGGGGCGATGCACTATCAGGGGGGTTGTTGTCACGGCCTCTTTGTCTCAGCCTCCGCCCGTCCTGCGCCCTCGATGCAGACGGCCGCTGCCTCTGGGCGCTGCCGGGCGAGGCGCCTGTCCGTTTCGCCGCCTCGTCAGGTCGGTATCCTTCTCTGGGTAGATGGATAGAGGAATAGATGGATGTTTAGATAGATAGATAGATAGAGAAATGGATGGATGTTTAGATAGATAGATAGATAGATAGAGATAGATAGATTAGAGAAATAGATAGATAGATAGATAGATAGAGAAATAGATGTTTAGATAGACGGATAGAGAGATAGATAGATAGATGGATAGAGAAATAGATAGATGTTTAGATAGACGGATAGAGAGATACACAGATAGATGGATAGAGAAATAGATAGATGTTTAGATAGACGGATAGAGAGATAGATAGATAGATGGATAGAGAAATAGATAGATGTTTAGATAGACGGATAGAGAGATACACAGGTAGATGGATAGAGAAAGAGATAGATGTTTCTATAGACGGATATATAGACAGTGAGAGAGATATAGAATGCTAGATAGATGTAAACTCGCACGTGTTTTCTATCTACTGTCTATCTATCTGCTGGGTCATTCATCTATCTATCTGACTTTTTGTCGACTTCTCCATCGATCTAATACCTTAGCTCCTCGACTCCCACCCCAATGCACCGGAACGCCCCCCCCCCCCAAGAACAAAAGAAAAAGAACGAGTCCCGCCCACCGCCCGGACTAACTCCTCCCCCTTTTTTGAAACGTATTACTCAAGACAGAAAAATAATAATAATAAATAATAATAATAATAAACAAACAAAAAAAAGCGAAGAAGAAAGTGACTCGACAAGACAACAAAACAGAGGGAAAACGACGTGTCTTGTGAGGAGACGCTGTAGG